TCGCCGTGGTCCGTGTTTGGGCCTTTTCTTTCGGCATCTTCTGCATCATGGCGGGAGTGTATTATATTTTGCAGGGTAGTCAAGGCTTTGACAATCTCATGCATGGAAAGCTTCTCAAGAGGAAGCAGAAGCAGAGGAACCTCGAGGATTTCGGTAAGCACAATGGAATGTCTGCATTTGAGAGCAGACAATTGCTAACGCTATCTAGTGGTTTCGCTGCAACGCGTGTCGACACAGCACGAGAAGACGACGTACCATGAGAAGACGAAATAGTATTTCGGTCTTGACGGTGGGTTGCAACCACGTCAGCGATCCAGCGTCACGCTGTAATGCGGATGGGTTTGATCTTCTTGACACGGACGTAAGGGCTAGTAGGAGGCGTTTGGTTGTACGGGCGGCAATAGCGATATTCAGTCATCTTCGTAGTGTACTATCTCGGGCGACTTGTATTCATATTTCATTAGGAAGGGAGGCGGAGAGCTGGAGGTTGTAGAACTTGGTACAAGCACAGTAGACACGACGATGTTCTCAACATCTCGCGATGCATCATACAGCTGTAATCGCAAGACATTCCATTACTTCTCCAAAGTTCGTATCATATCCTTTAGTGCTTTCATCAGGCTAGCCAACAGTAGCTTGTGCGACCAGTCAAGACGGCGCGTCGGACATGCAGGAACACAATCCTAGAAGCAGGCAGCTCGGCGCATGTTGAACAGCTTAGTAATTTTTAAATAGCTGTCCTAGTACAGTAGCGATAAAGCTCTAAGTTTCGAAATGGTGCAATGAAATGTGTTCCATCGGGTTTTGGGGCAGGCGCTCGCGGTGACGTCGCTTGCCAGCATCACCCCACCTTCGGCATTGGGCCACGCGCGGCATCTTGGTAATCACGTAACACAGTAGGACATAACCACCATTACACTCCTTCTCAGTTGATGCTCAGTTGCGCTCGAAGCATAAGTTGTCCCGCCCGACACCAGCTTAAATTCAATCGGATCTCGTCTCACCACATCAGAACACACTTTCTACCACCAGCACAAGCATTCGCAACAATGGCCAACCTCAACATCACCATTCCCAAGTTGAAGCTCAACGATGGTACTTCGATGCCAATGCTAGGCTACGGTACTGGTACTGCCTGGTTCAAGACTGGCGAGGAAAGCAAGATCGACCAGGCTATCATTGATTCTGTCAAGATTGCGACCAAGCTAGGATACACGCATCTTGATGGCGCCGAGGGTATGTTGATCGTTGCACATTAACGGGTCTGAGAACCTTGCTGATGACTGGCAGTCTACAAGACCGAGACCGAGTTGGGCACCGCGATCAAGGAGAGTGGCATTCCGCGTGAGAAGCTATACGTTACTACCAAAGTCAACAACGACAACATCAAAAATATTGCGGGAGCTATCAAGACGAGTCTGGAGAAGTTGCAACTGGACTATGTTGACCTGTATGTCTCTGAAATCTGCATCAACCATCTAAATTCTGACGAGCATAGGTACCTCATCCACCAGCCGTGGTTTGCAGGCTCAGACGAAGACCTCCAGAAAGCATGGGCCGACATGGAAGCCGTTCAAGCCTCTGGTCTCGCAAAGTCCATCGGCGTCTCCAACTATCTCCCTAACCATCTCGCCGCCACTCTGAAGACCGCGAAAGTCAAGCCAGTATGCAACCAGATTGAGCTCCACCCCTACCTGCAAAGGCCAGAACTCCTTGAATTCCACAAGCAGAACAACATTGCCACCGTCGCATATGCGCCTCTCACTCCTGCCACCAAAGCCAAGCCCGGTCCTCTGGATGACTACGTGGGAGCACTGACGAAGAAGTATGCTGTGGGCGAGAACGAGATCTACCTCAGGTGGTGCATGGACCAGGATATTGTGCCGATAACGACGAGTGGAAAGGAGCAGAGGCTGAGTGATTACTTGAGGGCGAACACGTTCAAGCTGACGCCTAAGGAGATCAAGGATATGAATGAGATTGGGCAGAAGAAGCATTTCCGCGGATTCTGGAACCACATCTTCAAGGACAATGATCGGTCGTAGTGTAGCAGCTGTGTAAATCAGCACGTGGGTCATGTCTAATGTAGCAGACCAAGAGCATAGAATCATACATCTTTGGTTAATACAAATACATTGGGCTTGTTTGATGTTGTTTGAAAATTACCTCTGAAGTTCCGGCGTGGGTGAATACAACTAACTGCTAGGGCTGGGGTTGGGGCGACCCCGTTAGCGCCAAGGCAGGCTCTCAATCTTTCGGCGCGAGCTCAGCAACTTCCACCTCGACTTCGACCTGTCGCGCATCACCCTTTGCACCCACCCACATCGCGCGATTGTATACACGGACCGGGCAGCGCATATCATCAAACATCACGAGTTCCAGTGTCGCGCCGCGCAATCACCGCCGCCATGTCAGGCGCAGTCGCAAAGGGCAAGAAGCAGGTGAACAAGAACGCCTATCGCCGGGCGAAGAAGAAGCAACAGCGCTCTGTAAGTAAACCACGCGCGTCGCAATACATTATACTGATAGCCATACAGGAGACACCGTCAGAGGCCGCTGACTCTGCGCGTGAGAGCGAATCTCCCGCACCCGAAAGCGACAGCAATAACGAAGCACAGGCGGTCAAGCCCGCGAACCTTCTCACCGTTGACGACATCGCGAACCAGTACGACCTCGACGACCCCGCGTTTGAGGAATACAAGAGCGTCTTCGAGAAGTTCAGAGAGCCGACCGAGGAGGAAGCGGCGACCAAGGACGAGGAGAAGCCAGAAATCTATCTCTCCGACGACGATATTCCCAGCGAGGACGAGGACGATGGCAAGCCCAAGCTCTCCAAGAAGCAGCGGAAGCAGATGAACAAGTTGTCGGTCGCGCAACTGAAGTCACTGGTCCCCCGGCCTGAGTTGGTCGAGTGGACAGATGTGTCATCCTCAAATCCACAGCTGCTCATCTCCATCAAGGGAGCGAAGAACGTCATTCCCGTCCCGACCCACTGGTCGCTCAAGCGCGAGTACCTCTCATCGAAACGCGGTATCGAGAAACCTCCGTTCGCCCTACCCAAGTTCATCCAGGAAACTGGTATCGCAGAGATGCGTGATGCAGTACTGGAAAAGCAAGCAGACATGACGATGAGGCAAAAGCAGCGAGAGCGCGTCCAAGGAAAGCTCGGCAAGCTCGACATCGACTACGCAAAACTATACGATGCTTTCTTCAGGCGACAGACGAAGCCAGAGTTGACGCGGTACGGCGAGGTCTACTACGAGGGCAAGGAGTTCGAGACCAATCTCGTCAACCTCAAGCCCGGCGAGCTGAGCGAGGAACTCCGCGAGGCTCTCGGAATGATGCCAGGTCATCCACCCCCTTGGCTCATCAACATGCAGCGCTTCGGCCCTCCACCATCTTACCCGAACATGCGCGTCCCTGGTGTAAACGCACCGATCCCTCCTGGTTCCTCCTGGGGCTTCCAGCCCGGCCAGTGGGGTAAACCCCCGATCGACGACGCTGGCAAGCCACAATTTGGAGGCGATCTGTATGGAACAGCCATACTGGAAGAGCAACAACAGCCTACTCATGTCGGCGAGCCTGTAGAGCGTGGCATCTGGGGAGCACTACGAGCTGAGGGTGAGAGTGAAGATGAGGAGAGCGACGAAGAAGAGGAGGATGACGAAGATGACGAGGAGGAAGGCGACGAAGACGCGAGCGGCATCCAGACATCGATGACAACAGCATCTGCCATGCCATCAGAGATTGGAGGAGCAGAGAGCATCGGTGGAGAGTTCCAGCTCCGGAAGCAGCGGAAAGGAATCGAGACTGAAGAGCCGGGTGTACCACGCAGCGCCGGTACAGTGCTTCCTGAGAAGAACATCTCGGCGACTGGCTTCTTTGGCGGCGAGCACGCTTATGACCTGGATGCGGCTAGGCGCGACGCGCTTGGACACGCACAACGGAAGCGCAAGGCTGGAGACATCGATGTGTCGGTTGATGTCGACCAGTTGGCAGATAGTGACAAGCTTGACAAGGACGCACTGAAGAAAGAGTATGAGTCAAGGCAAAGAGCCGAAGCGCAAGGCCAATGGCAGAGTATCGATCAAGATGATTTGGCGGACATGATCAACCAGGAGAGCAGGAAGCGCACGAAGCGGGAGGACGAGCGAAAGACCAGGCGCTAGGTCTGTTGGTTAAGAGTCCGCAAAGGACATGTGTTTTGTACAAAAGATTACGGATTGCCTTTTTCAAGAGCTCTGTCAGCGAGCCGGCGTCACGGATGTCAGTGGTCAGTAGGGCTTCGGCATATTCAGCATTGGGATACGGCGTTACATGCGGCAGCCAAGGTTGATCGCAATTGAACATAATCAAGATGAAGAATTTCTCACTTCCAAGGACAAGAATGACGGAAGAGTTGTATGCTGACTATGGAGGGGGTGGTACGTCTCGTGTCGACGAAAGGCTTGACGGATGCGACATGCAGGACAAAGGATGTGAAAGACAATAGCTGAAAACGTGAGTCAAGGGGCAGCACCATCAGGCTGGGACGACAGACGCGCAATGTCTTGGCTACTGAGGAGTAGATTGAGGCTTCCATTTTGGAGGGCACCGAAAAGATGTAGCGATGTCAGGAGCGCAGGAAGGAAGACACCAGATGCTGTCTGAAGTGCTATCTACGGAAATCTGGATCTACCGCGAACACGCACACAGTACCCTCTGTCGGCTGCCCGATTGCACATCCGGCGACCCAGTTGAATGTGAATCAAACGGTTGGCTGTTTGCAATGTGACTGACCCACGGCCAGTGCTCGCACGCCTCCCCCGCACGTGACCTACGAACGCGTCCAGTCGCTGGAGGCTTGGCTCTGAACTTCTCTTTTTGCGACCCAACACACGACCAGCCACCACCGCCCAGCAAGCGCAGTCGTTAGCTATCAACCCGGACTAATCGCTACGACCACATCACTTAGTATTGTTTGCCTGCGATAGGCACAGCACATCACCCTCGCCGCAGAAATGGACAGGGATCGTGAGCGAGATCGAGGAGATCGAAGGTTTGTCGACTCCAGACCAAGGGCCGCCTAGGCTCCGATGCGCAAACATGTTCCCAGGCATGCGGCATCTACTATGGGCGCATCTACTAACACCGCCATAGAGACGACAGGTACTCCAACACATACCGTCCGCGTTCTCCTGGTCCTCGCCCGCGCTCTCCACGCGGAGACAGCTACCGAGCCCGTTCACCTCCTCCCCGCCGGGCTTCGCCTCCTCCTCGTCGCGCCTCGCCCATTCGTCGCGGCATAGCTTCGGCAGATACATATGTTCCTGGTGGCCGTTCATCGCGTCCGCGCAGTCGATCGCCTGGTTTCCGGAGAAGATCAAGGAGCCCACGTCGCGACGACAACTGGAGGGCACGCCCTCGATCACCGCCTCGCCGAGCATTCTCGCCGCGACGAGAGGAGCCTAGGCGTGATGACTACAGGGCAAGGTCACCGCTGCCGCGACGAGACCGCGATCAGTACGACTCGTATACTCGCTCCCCGCGACCACGCGAAAGGTCTCCACCACCGAGAGAGCGCGATGTCTCCCCAGCTAGGAGCCGGGGTATACGCTCGCCTGTTCGTCCGAGCCGGTACGAAGAGCCGCGCTCCCGGGTGAATAGGTATGCTTCCAGTCTCCCCTCGCAACATGCCATTTGCTGACCTTATATGAAGCCCTCCCCGCAGATACTCTCCGGCCCGCGACACTCGTGATACGCGCGACTACCGACGCCGCTCACCCTCTCCAAGACGCGAGCGCCCCGAGCCTTACACTGCGGATACATGGAGGAGTCGCAGGTCTCCTTCGCCAGCGCGGCCAGCATATGCTTCGAACGATGCGTCGGGTAGAGACTCCGCAGCGACGTCCCGCCGCTCTTCCCCACCACCCATCCATCCTAGCCGGGCTGCCCTCGTAGAAGACCGACCAGTCAGAGAGCCCGCCTCAGCACCACGATCGCCTTTCCGTGAGCGCCTCCCCGATAGAGGACGAGACTACAGTCGCGAGCGAGAGCGGTCGCCTCCACGTCGACGCGACAGTCCTCCGACAGGACCGCGCGGAGATAGAGACTTCGCGCCTCCTACTGGACCATCGTCGTCTTCGTACCGCAACGGCGACAGCAACTTCGCCAGAGCTCCACCAACGGGACCTTCCAGCAGGAGCTATCCCTCCCCTGCGATATCCCCTCCAGTTGGACCTTCGAGCTTGACACCACAGGCTCCCTCCTTTCCCCGGGGCAATAACCCTGTTCTAGCAGCGCCGACACGACCGCGTGGTGGTGGCCGCGGTGGCTTTGGAGGATATGAAGGACGAGGAGACTTTTCTGGGCCTTCCTCGCGACGAGGATCTTGGGGCGCAGGACCACGAGGTGGAGGTTACTACGGTGGTGCGCCATCCGGTCCGCGTGGTTCCAGCAGCGGACCTAGCGGAGCAGCACCCTTTGCTCCTTCATTCCGCGGATCTAACAACTCCACTGCTACAACTTACCCCCGTACGATGCGCTTCCGAGACCATCTCTCTGACCTTCCCAAGGAAATCCCCGGTGGCCAAAGAGCACCGGAGCTGTACGACAAGAGCAAGATTCTTAAGCTTGAGGCCGAGGCGCAGAAGTTGAGAGAGATGATCGATAAGAAGGAAGATGCAAAGAGGCAGAAACTCAGGGAGTGGGACAGTCTTGAACGCGAGGCGGATACGGCTCAGCTGAGGGTTGACCTTGCAGAGGGTTCACTACGAAGCATAAACGGGGAGGCGGATGTCAGCGATGCCTTCTAGTACCGGCGTTCGCTGGGTGACGATCTTGCAGAACACGACTGGTAATTTACGGCTTATGGCTCCTTGGCATGAAGCTTCTTGGAACTTGAGATGGTGATCCTGATTTGACTTGCATGTGGATCTTGGAAGATAGCTTCTGGTGGCATAGCGGGCGTTGAATGGCATAGCATTGGTAGCAACCGAATCCTGATCACTAAATGCTTGAACTTTGTCTGCAGATAGCTTGTGTCTCACCTGTGATGATTCAAGAAGGACTTCAAAAACACTTCTATACCGATAACGGAAGCTAACTTGAGACTGCCATGATGCTTGTGTAAGTTGTAAGCGCATTCTCTTCTTCCAAGGTTCGCTCACGCGAGTCTGGGTGTCTGGAATGTTGGTCACTCACCCAGGGATGCTGTGACTACTGCGGATTACCGATTGGCCAGTATTAATTCTCACTTCTGACTCGCCGAACGCCAAATGTTTGCTGCAGCTGGTCGGTCGAACTAACCTACTCACCCGCCGCCTCAACCTTCGCCGACTGCTCTACTGTCGCACAAAATGGTGGGCAAGAAGGTACGAGGTCTCGCATGATTGTCGCGACCAGGGACTAATCTGCCTTTAGGAAGTCGCGAAGCCCGAAGCTGCCCCGCGCGGGGCCGCGAAGGCGAATGCTGCGACTGCTGCTCCCGCAGTAAAGAAAGCCGACGATGCTATGGACGTAGACGCTGTCGGCGCAAACGCTCAGACGACAGCAGGCGACGATGCGACTGACCTCAATCCCAACGCTTCCACATCAGCGGAGGCGACACGAAAACGAAAAGCGCCGCTTACCCACGCCAAAGACGAGTTTGCCGCCCTCCTCGAGCCTTTCTACTACGGAAAGAGTCTGACCGATCCGATCAATACTGCGCGTGATAAGTGGAATCTTCTGCCGGCCTTCCTGAAGACCAAGGGACTGGTCAAGCAGCATGTCGACTCATACAACCACTTCGTCGATGTGGAACTCAAGAAAATCCTCAAGGCCAACCGTTTCGTCCGCAGCGATACCGACCCCAAGTTCCTCCTCGAGTACACAGACATCCGCGTTCTTTCCCCTAACCGACAGGAAGAAGATGACCTCGACCACCACCGCAGTACCATTACACCCAACGAGTGCCGATTGCGCGACATGACATACGCTGCGCCGATAGTAGTGGACATCATATACACCCGTGGGAACTCAAAGGTCAAGCGGACGGGCATCAAGATTGGGCGTATGCCTATCATGCTGAAAAGCAACAAGTGCGTGCTTGCAGGAAAGAACGATCGAGAAATGGCAGTCATGGACGAGTGTCCGCTAGACCCAGGAGGCTACTTCATCACTCGAGGGCAAGAGAAGGTCATTCTGGTTCAAGAGCAGCTGAACAAGAACCGTGTCATTGTTGAGAGTGCCAAGGGCATCATGCAAGCCAGCGTTACCAGTTCTACGCACGAGAGGCGAACGAAGACGTACGTTATTCAGAAGAAGGGTCTTATGTACCTCCGCCACAACACGCTCTCCGAAGAGATCCCCATCGTGTTCGTAATGAAGGCACTGGGTGTACACTCCGACAAGGAGATCATACTCTTGATAGCTGGCGAGGATACCGCGTATCAAGACAACTTTGCTGCCAATTTCGAAGCGTGCGCAAAGGAAGGCATACACACTCAGGAGCGAGCGCTTGAGTATATCGGCCATCGCGTACGACTAGTGAAGAAGCCGCTCGGTACCTCGCGCAGCCGAAACTACCACTTAGAGGCTATCGAGTGTTTGTCCAACGTTGTCCTTCCCCACGTCCCAGTCGAAGGCACAAACTACCGACCAAAGGCACTGTACGTAGCTCTCATGGCACGTCGAGTTCTGATGGCCATGCAAGATCCGAAGCTTGTGGACGATCGCGACTATGTCGGGAATAAGCGTCTCGAGTTGTCTGGACAGATGCTGTCACTCTTGTTTGAAGATCACTTCAAGCGCTTCAACCACGACTTCAAGTTGAGCATCGATAAAGTGCTGAAGAAGCCAGTTCGAGCGCAAGAGTTTGATGCCTTCTCGCACTTCAGCGTGCACAAGAACCACATCACTATGGGTGTCGAGCGCGCCATTGCGACTGGAAATTGGAGTTTGAAGCGTTTCAAGATGGAGAGGGCGGGTGTTACTCACGTTCTGAGCAGACTGAGTTACATTGCTGCGCTAGGTATGATGACGAGAATCAGTTCGCAGTTCGAAAAGACGCGTAAGGTCTCTGGTCCCCGTGCGCTACAACCCTCGCAATTTGGCATGCTGTGCACATCCGATACACCCGAAGGAGAAGCCTGTGGTTTGGTCAAGAACTTGGCGCTCATGACGCATATCACAACCGAAGATGACGATGACCCAGTGCGTAAGATCGTGTTCATGTTGGGTGCAGAAGATATCTGTTTCCAGACTGGAGAGGAGATCCACGCAGATGGTGTGTATAGTGTTTGTCTCAACGGTACACCTATCGCTGTCACCGACACACCTAAACGATTCCTCAACAGCTTCCGGAAACTCAGGAGAATGGGACGTATCTCCGAGTTCACTAGCATTCACATCGATCACGACCACTGCGAAGTTCACATCGCCACGGATGAAGGCCGAATCTGCCGGCCGATGATCATTGTCGAAAACCAACGGTCCAAGGTTACCTCGCGCTACCTAAAGGCGCTTCGCAAGGGCACCATGGAGTTTGAGGACTTCCTGACAAGAGGTCTGGTGGAGTATCTCGATACCAACGAAGAGAACGACACGAACATTGCTTTGAAGGAGAGCGAAATCAACCAATACACTACACATCTCGAAATTGAGCCCTTCACCATCCTGGGCGCCGTCGCTGGCCTCATCCCATACCCCCATCACAACCAATCGCCTCGTAACACTTACCAATGCGCTATGGGTAAGCAAGCTATTGGAGCGATCGCCTACAACCAGTTCAAGAGGATAGACACACTGCTATACTTGATGGTCTATCCACAGCAACCCATGGTCAAGACCCGGACCATTGAACTCACTAAATATGACAAGCTGCCTGCTGGTCAAAACGCAACCGTCGCTGTCATGTCCTACTCCGGATACGATATTGAGGATGCGCTCATCCTGAACAAGGCCTCCTGCGACCGCGGCTTCGGACGCTGCCAGGTTCTGAAGAAGCACGTCACACCACTAAAGACGTATGCCAACGGCACCTCCGACCGTATCAATGCCGGCGCTCTCGACGTGGATAACACCAGCCACCAAGCCATCGGACAAGACGGTATCGCACAAGTCGGAGCCCGCATAGAAGCCGGCGATGCTTACCTCCTGAAATCCATACCCCAAGACACAGCCGGGCCCGCAACAAACGTCTACAAAGACAAGCCCGACAAGTACAAGATGCCTGACTGCAGCTACATCGACAAAGCCTGCATCACCGAGAACGAAGCCGGAACGACCCTGATCAAGCTCCTCATGCGCCAAACCCGACGTCCCGAACTCGGCGACAAATTCTCCTCTCGCCATGGTCAAAAAGGAACAACAGGACTCATTGTCCAACAAGAAGACATGCCCTTCAACGACCAAGGCATCTGCCCCGATATCATCATGAACCCCCACGGTTTCCCCTCCCGTATGACAGTCGGCAAGATGATGGAGCTCCTCTCCGGCAAAGCCGGTGTCCTAAACGGGACGCTAGAATACGGCACAGCATTCGGCGGCTCCACCGTGGAAGACATGTCGCAGATCCTCGTAGAAAAAGGCTTCTCCTACACAGGAAAAGACTACCTCACCAGCGGCATCACAGGAGAAGCCCACCAATTTTATACCTTCTTCGGTCCGATCTACTACCAGAAACTCAAGCACATGGTGCAGGACAAGATGCATTCGCGTGCGAGGGGTCCGCGGGCTATCCTTACAAGACAGCCTACGGAGGGTAGGGCGAGGGACGGTGGACTGCGTCTGGGTGAGATGGAACGTGATTGTTTGATTGCGTACGGTGCTAGTCAGTTGCTGCTTGAGCGGTTGATGATTAGTTCCGACGCGCATAATGTTGATGTTTGTGAGAAGTGTAAGTTCTCTTTCTCTTCTCTCCCTTAACTTCTCGGTTCTTTCCTGAGATCTTTACTAATGGTAATGATAGGTGGTCAAATGGGTTACAGCGGCTACTGCAAGCTCTGCGAGAGCGAGAAGGCGGTTCGCAAGATTACTATGCCGTATGCTGCTAAGCTTCTCATTCAGGAGCTGGGTAGTATGAATGTCAAGGTGACGATTGGGTTGGAAGACGAATTTCCAAGGGACGCTTAGGGGATGAGTAAAAGTGGATGCATGATTGGCGCTGATTTGGACAATACTGGGCTCGGGTGCATAGCGTGGCGTTCGTCATGATGATTTTATTTCAGTGTACACGATTATGGAATTGTTTCATTTTATGAGATGGTCTACAGCCTACATCAACATAAAAACATGCAAAGTAGGTGACCTAACGGCGAAGTAGGCTCCAGGCCTGTTCGGGTTTTTTCTTGTATAAGGTGCTGTCGTTGTTGTGCATTGTGGCGTTACGAGATTCTATTCCCGTGCTGGAGCGCGTAGACTCCTGGGACGGATTCGGTATGAGATATAACGAAGAGAATGTACTCAGCCGCATTATTGCAAGCGAAGGACAGTCCACGATGGCGGATGTTGTTGATGGGAGGAATGATGAGGGCGGCGGGGGCGTCTTCAAAGCGCGCTAGCCTCACCCACTTTACGCGGTCGCGTCGACCGGAACGCGGTGCACTCCCGAGTAGCAACCATCACACCATACCACAATGGCTACCACACAGCGCCTCCGCGCTCGACAGGCCCGTAAGTAACCTGAGTTTATGAGCGAGGATTGTAATCCTAATTGAAGCTCTAGATGCCCCTGGCGCAACCTATCTCGCATACACACCCAACGGAAAGAAACTCGTCACAGCCGGAGTCGACAACTACTGCCGCGTCTTCACTACGGGGTCTGATGACGAGC